TATGACCTCCGTTTTTTATAAAATGCATTCGTTGCTACCTCATATATACCGCTGCTACCTCCGATTTCGGAGGTCGTAAGGTATCCAATAAAATAAAAAAGGATGGTACTATATCGGACAATAGCTCTCACCGTCTATGTTTTCTAGTGGAGGTCAGAACGATCGGCGCTTATCAAAACATATAAGCAATTAGTTCAGAGGTTTGCCGCGATAGGACCGGTCCTTCTACGTGGTTTTGTACACCGCATGTTAAGACCTCCACTATATTTTTACATTTATTGTACGTAAAAGCACCATTCTATTGCCTCCTATGTTTGGCAACAGTGTAATTAAGTACTTTTCTCAGTCTCGTTGCGTTTAGTTCGGTGTTCTCGTCGAACAGTGGATATTTTATTTAATACATGTGATAGGCGCTGAAATGTATAGAAGGTGTTTTCCACAATCATACGTAAGTATCTCTTTATTTAATATTATAATGGAATAATAATTTTTTGATAATTAGAAAATAGTCAAATATACACTTTGCACCATTTACAATTTCATCCTTTTATTTTGCACCGTCCTGAAAAATTCGGAAAAATGTGTAAATTTCTCAAAATTAAGAAAAACTGTTTAGACAATATTGTAGATGTTATTTTATATCATAATAACTTTATCCAATTCCTGATTAAATTTCAGTATAAATGTTGTACGGTTTCTCAAAAAAGATCTCAACAGTGGTTCTGCAATAGAGGTTTTGAGTTCACTGAAATGGATTTTCCGATAACCAGTGACGGACAAGCAGAGTTCCATCAAGTAAAGCCACTGGGAAACCCACAGGTAACCTTTTGAAATAATGCAGCAATAGGAAAGTATCAAAAGTTAACGTGTAAAATGGTGAACCAGTTGCATTTTTTAAAAAAATGACACTCAATTCATCCTAATATTACCAAGCCAAATAAAATCTAATTCAATCTTATATAATCAAAACCTAACAAATCCTAGCCACACTTAACAAAACCTAAACAAACCCGACCCAACCAAGCCATCTCACACCGTAACCAACTTAATTAATCATTACCTCACCAAACAAAACCTTACCGAATCTAACAAAACCTAACCAAATTTTTAGTACCTAGCCTAACATAACCAAACCACCTTACTTTGCCTAAACAAACTTAAACAAATCTAGGGAAACGAAACCAAATCGCACCTTACTAAACCAAATCTTTCCAAACCAAACCAAACCTTTAGTACCTAACCATACCTTACTCTATCTGAACAAAACTAACAAAACCTACTGAAACCAAGTCAAACCTTACGAAACTTAACATTACCCAACTTCACCTTTTTTTGACAACTAGGGAGGGGAAAAAGCGTTATGCACTCCGGTCGCACAAGGCTGACCGGGAGTGTAGGACTCGCACCCACTAAAAACCACCCTACTACCTTCCCTGGTAGACCCAATGCGAAATCGCCGACTAAGTATGCGTCACGATTATCAAAAAGCATAAGCAAAAACACCAGTCCAACAAAAAAGAAAAAAACGATATGTCCTCAACTACATTGGACGGAGTGTCCAGTGTACTTCCAGCGCACCTCAAAGCAGATGAAAAAATAAAAAAGCAGCAACACAAAACAAGCAAAAAACATAACAAAACATAAAAACAAAGCAGCAAAATCGCATCGAAGTGTCGTTATAAAGTTTCAGTTACCGACAGTATAAGGGTCTCGCCCCGCCCGTCAGGCAACCGCAATACCTTTTCAGTTTGGGAGACTGTCGGAAGGGAGAACTGGTACAGTAAGGATTTATCTATGGTAAGGATCTCGAGATTGAATTCGGCGTGCAGCAGACAGTATAAGGATACCAGCCCGCCTGCCAACGCTGCACGTCATCCCATCAGCGAGCAGTTTAAGGAAAAACCCGCCTGCCAACGCTGATTGGGCCATTGTTATAAAAGAATACCTTGAAAAATTTAACCAAACCTAACCTAACCTAACCTAACCTTCTAAAATTAGTAAAATATTACCCTTAAGACTGGTTAGCGATTCTTCGATTCGGCGTGCAGCGGACAGTATAGGGACACCAGCCTGCCTGCCATCGTTGCACGTCATCTTATCAGCGAACAGTTTAGGGAAAAACCCGTCTGCCAATCCTGATGAGGTCAACGAAATATAGTTGAAATAATTTGACAAGTTTAACCTACTTCCACAAAGTTAGCAGCAAAAAATAACACATAAAACTAGTTCATAATTCTCAATCTCAACCCAGATCAACTATCAAAAAACATAAGACTTACTGACTATCCCTCATCCCGCCACTTTAAACTTACATCGCTACTCTATCCTTGGGTTGCAGCCCTAATTTACTGCATCCTAGCTCATTCACATACGTTTTTCATTGTCCCTATTTTCATCCACCTACAATAAGGTTACCTATTGGTGGGAACCAGTTACCCTTCATCTGTCTGCACTTCACGTGCCGACCTGGCACAGCAGATTAGATCTGGGAGGATTGTGGAGCTAATTGCCTTTCCCAGCAATTGCTCATGTCTGTAACAGGTAACTGTTACCAAACTTAACCACTACCTTAACAAACCTTAACAAAACTCGTCACACCGATACCCACTTAATCAAACCTTACTAAACCTAACTAAACCCAACCTAACCGAACCTTGTCCAACATAACCGACTCTAACCTCATCAAGCCTAACCAAATATTGAAACCTAACTAGACCAGACCAAACCGAACCTTGCCAATTCTAACCGAACCCAATCTAAATTTAACCTAACTTAGCATTACCTGACTATATGTTGAATGATGCAGTTATTGCTTTACAGATAGAGGCAGATGTAGGGGTAGATCCGTCGGACGCTTCGTTAAGTTCATACGATGATTTTAACGATAAGGACTTTCAAATTGACAGCGACGAATTAACTTCAAGCGAGAGTGAAAGCGATGATGAAAATGAAAAAGATATCGATCAAAACAACGAAAGAATATTAAGAACGAACAGTTGTGACCAAGTTAAACTTGAAATAGAACAAAAACCTCAAATCAATATTTTGCAAAACGTTCAAATCAGAGAGCCAGAAGAACCGCGAGGGATTTCTTCTAAAGCTGGTTATATGAGAGAAGCAAAACTCTTGAAAACCCGTTTAGTAAGATGTGTTTTTTGCGCAGAGGACAGTGTTTCTAAAAACTTTATGCGTCATTTGATGAGACGACACGCTGGCGAAAAAGAGGTGAAGGCAATTTTGTTGGAGCCTCTAAAGAGTAAAGCTAGGAAAAAGGCAGTAGAAGCATTAAGAAAAGAAACTCAGTTCGAACAATATCTTGATGGCGATGGTATTCCCGCACGCAGAAACTTTAACAAAAATATTGACACCGAAAACCAAAAATCTCTTTATTATCCATGCATACATTGCAAAGGTTTGTACAAAAAATCTTACTTAAGTAGACATTTAAAACTATGTACCTCTAAAACATGCAAATCGGGTGCATCGGGAGCCGTCTCAAAATCACAAACATTAACTGCATGTAGTCTGGATCCAACAAATGTTGTATCCCGTTTAGAAGTTAAGGAAAAGGTATTTGACATGATGAGGGGTGATGATATTGCGTTTGTTGCAAAAAAAGATTTGTTAATAACATACTTCGGAAATTCGTATTTGAGAAAACACCGAAAGGAAAAAAGCAGCTATACGTGCAGCAATAAGATGAGGGAGTTCGGGAGGTTATTAATAGAATGCCGCAAACTTATGAATGATCCAAAAATCGATATGCAGCACTTACTCCGTCCCGTCCATTTTGACACTATTGTAACAGCAGCAAGAAAATTATCAGGCTTCGATCCCCTAAAAAAGGGCTTCGCTGCTCCTAGCTTAGCAATGCACTTTGGAGGCAACTTGAAGTTGCTTTGTGATGAACTGTATTATTTAATTATGAAAGATACTACAGGATTCAGATCGAAGACGAACAGTGACAAAGCAGTCACTTTGAAGGCAGTTAAGAATATGAAGCAGCTAATAGTTTCCAGATGGAATACTGAAATGGCTTCTTTGGCAAATAAGGATTTACACGAAAAATGTTGGAACAAGCCTTTGTTGATTCCCTTGGTGTCGGATATCAAGCTTTTTAGGGAAAAAGCTTTCGAAATAGCTAGAAACGCTGTTGTAGCCTTCGTAAAGGAAATAGATACAGAAAGTGACTATAAAACGCTTGTCGAATGCGTTCTATCATTACTCATAATTTTCAATAGAAGAAGAATAGGTGATGTGCAGTACATGAAAATATCAGATTACAAAAATGAGAAAAAAAGCAAATTCAATGATTTTGAAGACGCACTTTCAGCAACAGAGAAAATTTTGGCAACACAGTACCGAAGGGTCCTTAATAGCGGTAAAGGATCTCGGGCAGTCGTAGTTCTGATACCTCAAGACCTCGATGAATTCATACAAGTGCTTTTAAGACACAGACATAAATATATTTGTGAAGATAACGACTACCTCTTTTCAATACCAGGACATAAAGTCATATGGGGCAAAGGAGACCTAGCAATTCGAAACCTAACTAGAAAAATTCCATTAGAGAACCCTGTAGCTATAACAAGTAATCGTTTGAGAAAACAAATTGCCACCGTCATGCAAATATTAAGCCTGTCCAAAGATGATATTAAACAGTTTTTTAACTTGATGGGTCACACAGTTAAAACCCATGAAGAATTTTATGAGTAAGGCTTTTGCATTTTTATTGCTTCATCTACTTTATTCTCACTTTTAAGGCTTCCAGTTGATGTCTATCAGACAGCAAAGGTGTCAAAGCTTTTGTTGATGATTGAAAATGGAGTGCCAATAGACCATAGAGGAAAATCCTTATCAGAGATTGAGATCGATTGTAAATATGCCGAAGAAAACGATATGAAATCTTTAGCAAATCACCACGACGATGGACTTGTAACTGAGGAAATTGAGGAGAATAACGAAAAAGAAGATAGCGACCAAGAAACGGAAGATGGAAAGGAGGTACCAGAAATGAATGAAAAGAAGAGGAAACGAATGACATTTATACGGGGAAAGGAACAGCCGAAATACAGAGAAAAATACACTGACTCAAACATAGATGACAGATCCAAGACCAAAATAGAGGAAATGAAGAATATTGGACAGGAAAAGGCTGAAGAATATTTTGAAGGCAGGAAAAAGAGAAAGAGTGAAAGTAAGTTTACTATCAGTTAAGAGTATTTTAGATTATTTACATTTGTTATCTCTTCAGAATGGTCTCCAAATGAAGTCTCCCTGTTAAAGAAAACCTTTCAAAAATACTTGATTAAGGGCTCATACCCTTCAACGGAAGAAATAAGAAAATTTTTAAACAAGAATTGCATTGATAGGAAGCCAGTGGTGGTAAAAGCAAAGCTTCAGCATTTGAGAAAGCTTCAACAGTCGCAGAAGTAGTCATGGTTGCAATAAAATAATGTTCAATAGAGATTCGTGTTCATTTATAAAAAAAGTTGTAAGTTCGTTTTAAAGTTGCTATAGAGTAATGATTCACCCGATGTCTAGTTTTTTTACGTTATTATACTTTTAACCTTAACTGTTGTTTATTTATTAAAATTAAAACCATCAAACAATGGCATTCTCCTTAATGAAGAATAAGCAATTGTTAAGTAACATTAGGTATTTATCCCAAATCAAACATTAAAACTATTTTATTTAACAAGTGTATGAACTGAGTAAATGGCAACAGCGCGAGAGGTTTCAACGTACGCTCAGTCTAATAAATATAAGGAGGTAAGAGCTACCTGATTTTAAAAAATAAAATATTTTAGAAAAGTGTTTCCCCTCTAATGAAACCTGCAATACCGACGGTCCCATAGTGATAAATATGATTTAAATTTAGGTGTATACAAAGTTGGTATAGTGGAGGCTTGAGCGCCTGCCAATGTAACGGAGGTCNAAAAAGTTGTTAGAGGAATTATATATATACGAATAAAGGGTACGTTGACACCTCGAAAATAGATAAGTAACATCCGGCGACAAAGTTGCTTTTGGTTTCTACAACCTTGTCCTCTTAGTTCAGTCATATATCGTTGGCGCTGTCGTCGTTTTTTCGTATTTGCTCTAGCGAAACAGGAGATATGAAGTCACCTCATCATATGTCTATTCTACATTAGGGATATAATAGACTCGCTGCCACCTCAAATTATTGGCAACGAAGCATTTGGTATTTGTGGGTAACGTACTATTCGTAGTAATCTTGAATTGCGGTCAATGAGGTGTTAACGTCTCTTGTACTGTTTGAATGTACTTGCTTGAATTAGAATGAATTATAGAATCAAATTAATAATAAATATGGCCAAGGTAAGAGTTATATATATCATCATCATAAGGTCGTCAGTCCTAAGACTGGTTGGACACGTACCTCCACTCTTTCCTATCCTGAGCTAAACTTCGCATTTCCCTAAAACTAGAACAGCCCACATCCTTAACTATTTGCGAACAGTAATCTAATCTAGGTCTACCTCTACCCCTCCTAACTCCTGTTTCTGCCTCTAATATGTCTCTGACTAGACCTTCATGCCTGAGAAGGTGTCCTACCAACCTATCTCGCTTATGTTTTATTGACTTCCATAGAGTCCTCTGTTCTCCTATTCTTTCCAATACTTCTTCATTTCTAACCCTTTCTACCCACGATATCCTCATCATTCGCCTATAACACCACATTTCAAACGCTTCTAACCTTTTTTTTCCGCCGCGCCCACTGTCCATGTTTCGCACCCGTACAATGCCGTGCTCCAAACATATACTTTTAACAACCTTTTTCGAATTTCTAAATTAACCGTTCGCGAGCATAAAAGTGACTTCTTTTTATTAAAGGCAACACAACCCTGCGCTATCCTCTGCTTTATATTCCTACTACTCCTTCTATCCTGACTTATCTGACTTCTTAGGTATCTAAAATCAGCCACTTCTTCTAATTTTTCGTCTCCTATCTTTATATTCGGTCTTTCCTTACTTTTTCTTCCCTTGCATACCAGTATTTTAGTTTTACCTTTATTTGTTTTCATACAGTACTGATCTGTCAGGACCGCTTCCATTTTATTTAAAGCTATCTCTAGGTCCTCCTTGCTAAATGCTAATACTGCTATATCATCTGCAAATCTAAGCATACTAATGTTTTGCCCTTGCACATCTATCCCTACAGTTGTACTGTCTTTAATGATGTTGATGGCGTCTTCGATGTATAGATTAAAAAGTAGCGGTGACAGTGTGCATCCCTGTCTGACTCCCTTCCTAATATTTACTTCTCTACGTTACATCCCTAGCTCTATAACTGCCTGTTGCTCTTTATACATGCTAAGTATCACTCTTCTATCTTTGTAACTTATCCCTTTTTAAGTATATTTAACATATTGTCCCATTTAACATTGTCAAAAGCTTTCTCTAAATCTACAATCCTATGTACGCACTCTTTCCTTTTTCTATTGTTTTCTCTATTGTTACCCGTAAAGCTAGAATGACCTCCCGCGTTCCTCTATTTCTTCTAAACCCAAATTGATCTTCCCCTAATAGTTATTCCGCCCTTTTTTCCATCCTCCTCTGTACAATTCTAGTTAAGATTTTTGACGCATGGGAAGTTAAGCTAATTGTTCGAAATTTCTCGCACCT